TCTTTGCCCGGTGCAAGATCAGGGGTGGTCTTCGGCCATGAATGACCCGAGGTCGCAGCTGCCTCGTGGTTGCCCGGCCGGCTGCAGAGCCGAACGCGGACAAAGGTGCGTGGCAGGTTAAATGGAGGGCTTGGGTCAATCCTACGAAGCAAAAGGGCATGGGGCAAGGTCCCAGAGATATATATCGACCACCCCTGGTTCAGAGGGCTGGAGGAGTTCGCCCATGGGCCCTGCAAGAAACCAATAGGAACGCATGGTTTGCTACGATGGTTCACGGAACAAAGGCAGCGGGGAACAGTTTGATCCACCCCGCTATCGGCGGCAGGGCCGACAAGATTTTGAGTCGGGACAAGCGGGGAGCAGCTTCGCAAAAAAAGCGGGGTATCAAGTATTAATGAGCTCAATAACAGGCCGAGTCAGCTGCGGCCATCGTCGCCGAAGCAAGTTCGGCGGCTGGCTCTGGCGCCGGCAGCGCAAGGCAGTCAGGGGAGTGCCAGTCGGGATTGGCAGGGGAAAGGGAAGCGTGGTTGCTGAAATTGAACGGACACGGAGAGAATGAGTGCTTCTTCGGCACTCGTTGCAAGTTCCGCGCCGACACGCCCGGACATCCGTGACATTGGCCATGCGGTTCGACGTTGCATCTGCGCCGCTGCTGGCCCGAGCTCGCGCGCCGCGCGCAGCTCCTCGCGGGCGAAGCTCGCGACCCAGCAACCCATCGCGCGCGAACGGCGTCCGCCCCACCCCCCCCCCCCCCTCCCCCCACTCAGCGCTCGAACTTCTCGTGATTCGTTTGTCTGGCGATTGGGAGGGCTACGGGCCCAGGGCTCAAGCCCTCGCTCCACTGAGGCCCAGCAGTAGGGCCTTGACCACGCTATAGGTCCCTCGGGCGATCCGAAGAAGGTCCCTAGATGGTTGAACAGAGCGCCGGGAGTTTTCTGCTTGGCGCCCTAAGCAAGTTTCTCGAGCCCCCCTGCTGAAGCAAGCCCTGCCCGCCGAAGCTCCAACCCTACCCGACTCCTCCTTCCAAACACTTCCCCGTCGTCCTGCACTCTTTCTCTTCCAATTACTTATCATCCGCCTCCTCGCCCCCCTGCTTCCTGATGGTTTGCTCGACTTGCCTGGGCCCCGGCGCGTCTCCGTTGTCTTCCCGCGTTTGCGGTGTGATGAGGCAGTCGCTGCATCCTTGGGTAGTGCAATTGTGGCTCGGGCGTTCCAGCGCTGCATTATTCTTCGTTCTGGCGCACTGTCCAGGATGGCGAGCATTCGCGTCGATGTGATTGGGCCCATTCGACGCAAATGCAGGGTGTGTCAATACACGGGCGATAACCTCTACATCAAGATTCTTCCTTCCGGTGATGACGGTTCTGGCCGTTTCGCCCAGCTTGTTGCAGATTGCGGACAATCCGAATCGCGATCGTCGCGGTCAGTTCGCTACCCCTTTGCGGTTTGAAGCGCGGCGCTGCGCGCGCTGGTCTGCGGCGCGCGCAGGCGGGCGAGACCGCTGCAAGACGTGCCCGCCCTCCCCGGCGGCGCCGCCGCCCGTGGCCCCGCGCGAGAAGCGCGCCCATCTAACTGGGGGCCCCCGCCAGGAGAGAAGGAGGAGGAGGAGGAGGGCGGGGGTAAGGGCCAGGAGGGGGATAAGGACGAGAATGATAAGGAGGGATGAGGGCAACAAGAATGAGGGTCTCCGAATTGCCCCAGGGCCTCAAGACAAAGCCGCCAGCGCATTCAGCGGACGGCTCGCGGGCCCCGACCCCTGCGAGATGCCCGGGCAAGGCGAGGGGGGGTGACGAGGGGGCGCCTCCTTCATCAGCACCAGAGGAGCCCCAGATTCCTCCGACTCTTCTCCTTCGCACCTGTTTCCCCGCCATCCACCAAAGAACCCCCTTTCCTCAAATTCACGCCCCCCCCTTGCTATCCGGGCATTCCGCCCCCCCCCCCCCCCGGCGTGGCTCTTTCTCTCCCCGCCCTCCTCTTCCTCTATGCCTGTTTCTTCTTACTTACTCGTCCCGCGCCCCTATGCCGCGCGTTCTCCATTGCCGTTTCGCCCGACTCGCTCTTTTCCGCCCTCCATCCATTTTTGCCATCCGTTCATCGCGCGCCCCCCCCCCCCCCCCCCCCCCCCTCATCATCCCCGGGCTGGCGAAGGCGCGGAACCTGAGCGACGACGAGGCTCCCACTGCTCATCTAGCCGCCCAGCAGCGACCGATAGATGCGACTGATGATGGGCTTGGCTGAAGACCCTTGCGCAGCGAGTGCCCACTCGCACCTGCGCCCGTCGCGCGCGACTAAACCATCGATGAAGATCCGATGATGACAACAAGAAGAGCTTTCGAGCGTGCCCCATCGACCCCGTTTGCCTGGGCTGAAAGAAGAGCGCGCGTCATGATTGGCTGTCCCCTTCCAATTGGCCCCCATCGCTCACCATGATGAGGTGCTCGTTGTTGCGTTGAGTTGCGCTTGTATGGCGCTGCAACTAGCGCGTTGGTCGCTCGTTGCACTTTCCGCATTTGCACGTGGCCTGACATTGCGCGGCTCGTCTCCAGACTCGAAATTTGCGGGCGACATGTCGTTTGCCTTTTCGTCGCATTGCATGGGTCTGACACGCGCAGTTATCAGTATTCCGTAACCGCATTGGTCAAAGTCGTTCTGGCGAACGCCGCCGTCGCTGGCGCGGCGCGCCGGGGGCGACCCGCCCCTCTGGCGGAGGACCTGGCGCAAGGACCTCCGAGCCCGCCGCCCTTCGAGGACCTGCCCGGGCAGCTTTTCGGCGACGCCGACGGCGGTGGCGGCCCGAGTCGGCGGCGCCGCAGCTCGACATCATCATTGGCGGCGACTGCGGCGCGGCTCGGGCTGCTGCCCGGCGGCGACGAAGACGATGATGGGCGCCGCGGTTCAGCGTCATCGGCGGCGGCGTCACGGCTCGGACTCGGTGGCGCAGACGCTGCTGACGATGAGCACCGTGGCTCGGCATCGTCGGTTGTCGCGGCAGCGCCAGGGCTTGGACTCGGCGGCCCCGATGGTGACGACGATGACGAACGCCGTGGCTCTCAACCACAACATGAACAACAACGACAGCAACTGGCGACGGCAACATCAGCATCGCGGCTTGGCGGAGCAACGTTTTTGGCATCGTCGAGGCGCCGCTGTAGTTTGGATCTGGCGACGATGATGCTGATGTGGATGATGGTGATCGGTGCCGTGGCCCAGCGCCATCATCGGCGGCGGCGCCGCAGCTCGGCGGAATCGGCGGCGAAGATAGCGATTCGCACATTGGCTCTGCATCGTCATCGGTCGCGGCGACGCCAAGGCAAGGGCTGCTCGGCGGCGACGATGGCGACGATGATGATGATCGGCACCGCGGCCCAGCATCATCATCGGCGGCGGCGCCGCAGCTCGGCGGAATCGGCGGCGAGGATGACGATTTGCTCCGCGGCTCGGCGGCGTCGTCGGGCGCGGCGGCGCCAGGGCCAGGGCTGCTCGGCGGCGACGATGGCGATGGCGATGACGAGCAGCACCGCTCATCGGACATCAGGCGTCGGATCAGGAGTCGGAGTTGTTCGGCGACGGTGGCGAGGCGCAGCGGCGGTGGCGGCGGGGGCGCTGCTGCGCCGGCCCGTAGTCCCCCGCGATGTGCGCCGCCGCCGTCGCCCGAGGGGCGCCGGCGGATTCTCTGGGAGACGGCGCGCTCGGACGCGGAGGACGTTGTCACTGGGGCGTTCCTGAAGTACCCGCATCAGATCGCGGCGCGACGCCCGCTTCTGGACATTCAGCGCAGCGAGCTGCCGAGACGGATCGCTGACGTCATCGGGCCGTGCGGGGGGGAGGTGCGCCCGCGCGCGCGGGGCCCGCCTCCGACCCCGCGCAGAGGTGGGGCGCGCGCTACAGATGTGAGCGCAACGAGGCCCGTCCACGCTGGAAGCCCACGCGCGCGCTGGGTCGCTGGCGCCGCTGACGGCAAATTCTTGTTTCTGGCGCTTTTCCGGACGCGGACGCGGCGTCCCACGAGGCGGCCGTGCTGCAGGCCTAGCCGGCCTAGCGAACGCCGCCACAGACGCCCGCGGTCTCGCGATCAGGCCGACGCCAGCGCGCAGTTTGATTTACGTTTGCGCGCAGGGACATCGCAACATGGATGTCTTGCGCAGTTTACATTTGCGTTCGGATCCAAAACAACAGAAGGAATGACATTTCTAGAACGGCGCCACCACCTGATTACCATTGCGTGCGCGCGTGCGCGCGCGGGGGGCTCCGCGCAACATGTCACGGGGAATGGCAACGTATCCACATGAAAATCATACATTGACAACGCAAGCGCGTCTTATTGCGCGCGCTGGGTGGCCCACCCAGAGTGCGTTACCCGAGAAGAAAAATTATATAGACCATTCGTTTCGCCAGTATGCTGGGCCTTGACATCTGAAAAACTAGTCTTGGCAGCAATAACATCAATGCCCAGGTGGGGCCTCGGGTAACGAGCCGGGACAGGCAGTTACATACAAACATACCCTTATATACCAGCAAGGACTCCCTCCTCCCGGGCCTGAATGGCGCCAGCCATGGCGACCCCCCCCCTCTGTCCTTCCCGGGCCTGAATGGCGTCAGCTACGGCGTCAGCGCCCCCCCCGACTCGCTCCCCGCCCCCCTCCCCCTACCCGGACCTGAATGGCGTCAGCCATGGCGTCAGCCCCCCCCACACGACAGAGCGAAGCTTGAGCGAGCTCCCCCCCCCTCCCTCCTCCCGCGTCCGAATGGCGTCAGCCATGGCGTCCCCCCCCCCCCCCCCCGACTCTCTCCTCCCGGGCTGGGCTTGGGTATCCCCCCCCCTCCTGGCCTGAATGGCGTCAGTGGCGTCAGCACCCCCCCCAACAGTTTGAGCGTGTTCCCCCCCCCCCGCCTCCCCCCTCCCAGGCTTGAGTGGCGTCAGCCATGGCGTCAGCCCCCCCCCGATTCCCCCGTCCCGGGCGTGATTGGCGTCAGCCATGATTTTTGCCGTCTGCCGCGAGGAGGCGGCTGGCCGCCGGCCGCGGGATGCGGGCGGCTTGCCGGCGGGCGGCCTGCCATCGCGCAGCGCGGCAACGGCCGCCATCGGGCGGGCTGAGGCGCCAGGTTCCCGGGAGGGGGGGTTCAGTGATCGGTGGTCGAGTAGAGAACAATTACAGGGTCGATTTGCCCCCAAATCGATTCCCTGGGGAGTTTACAGAGCGCGTACCGTATGGTGTTCGTGACGGCTTGTTCTACGCATGTGTCATGGATTCGACGATGAAATCAACGTTGGTTAAATCAATTGTGTAGTCGATCCCCCATTCGAATTGAGCTCACCGCGCGCAAACATTCGCTGACCCAGAGCACATATATTTAGCTTGTTGACAGCACTGTGTTTTGCTGAGGGCATGTTGTGCCCTCGGGGAACACTTTGTGTCTCCAGTTTGTTTGCTCTCGTGAGATTATTGCCGCCGTCCTGGACGGGCCACAATTGCCAAGGGAAACATCAATGAGGCGATGTTTTTGGTTACAGATGTTCGGGAGGTGTCGTTGTCTCTCTGCGTTTTTTCAAGGTTCGGATGTCTTCCAGCAGCTGCCGGGGAGCCGATTTATGACCCGAAAACAAAATCGGGCAACGTCAAGTGGGGCAGGTGCAGGGGGGACGCATGGACTCCCAATCGCCCACCGATCGCCAACATAAAGACCAGATAACCCCTCCCCGCCCAGGAGCATGCAGATCCTGGATGTACGGCCTAATTCCGATTTTTTCGACGATGCATCGCCGATTCAAAAGCAATGTTCCCCCCCCTCCTCACCTGCGCTGGTCCCCTCCTTACAGTTGCCCCTCAGAGGCGTCGTCATTTCTGACGAGCCACAACCAGGAGCAGTTGTGCTTCTTGACCCTCATGTGGGGTCCATCGGATTCGGCACCCCTGTCGAGAGATCGTCGATAACATGGGTCCCTCCAGGGATCGGGCCACCGAGGACGACATCCTCCCTCCTCCAGGGGCGTTGTCCTTCCTCCCTCCCTCCTCCCTCTTCCCGGGTCGTCGCCTCGTTTCCTCCTTGCTCCTCCTCCCTCCCTCCCTCCCTCCCTCACTCCTGCTTACTCCTCCCGGGTCGTCGTCGTCGTCGTTTTCGTCGTCTTGTTCCTCCTCCTCCTCCTCCTCCTCCTCCTCCTCCTCCTCCTCCTCCTCCCACGGCGCGCTCGGGTCACTGTGATCTGGGAGCCGGCAGACACCTCCGCCGCCCGTCGATTTGCAGGGCGGTTCCCCGAGGGGTGGCCGGGCCCTCTGACTAAAGGCTCCGCTGCTTGGGAGTGCGGCCAGCACCGCCAGGAAGGTGTGGCCGCCGCTCGTGGGCGCCGCGCGGCCAGGGCGGCCAGCTGCGGCCGCCCGCCGCCCGAGCTGCGCTCGCGCACGCGTCTCCGAGAGAGCCCCGCCGCCGCCCGCCTCCCCCGGCGGCCCGGCGCCGCGCTCTGGCCGCCGCCGCCCAGCGCCCCCTCCGCCCCCTCCAGCGGCGTCGCGCGCTCGCGGCCGCCGCCGCCAGCCTGGCGCGACGCCGCCGCCGCCGCCGCCGCGACGCCGCCATCCTGTCTCGCCGCCGCCGCCGCCGCCGCCGCCGCCGCTCGCGCGCGCTCCGCGACGCACCGCCGCCAGCCCGGCTCGGCCGGCATCTGCCGCGTGCCGCTGCAGCACGGTTACGCAAGGCTTGGTGCGGGCGATGGGTCGCCACTGAGTGCTCCGTCGCCGCTTCCTGCGGGGCCAGCCGGCGGAGCAGCGCTGACGCGGCTGTTTCAAGCAGTGACGAAGCGTCTTGGCGTGCCTATAGTGTTACCTAACAATGTTCTCTAAGAACATTTTGTGGTTCCCGCGAAATGTTCTTAAAACATGTATGGCTGGGACTGTTTTGTTTGAACGCATCGGGTTTTATGTTCTAAGAACCTTGTTTTTGTTCTCAAAACATTTTGGGATTCTAAGAATATTTCGTGGTAGGACTATAGGAATGCCGGGACGGACGGTCGGTCCCTGCTCAATCGATGACGGACGGGTCCAACGGCGCGCCTTTGTGGCGCTCCGCAGCTGCCGCAGCAGCGCCCTCGCGGCGCGGCGCGCCGAGGCCGAGGGCGTTCTGGCTCAGGGCACTGACCACCGTGAGGTCCACGAGGACGGGCGCCCACGCCCCAGGAGCGTGGATGGTCAGGTCCACGTGGGCTTCTGAGTTCGCTGGCGCCGCGTGGGGCACCAGTGCTTCGTTTCTCTGTGCACGGTGCACCCCTGCTCCTCCCACCACTCGGCGAGGATTGCGCACCCAGTATCGTGCTGGCGCACGCGCCAGCCTCCCAAGGCGCACCCGCGCTCGTGGACCCCTTTGGGGTCCAGGGCCTCGCGGCGCACTCTCCCGTCCAGGTAGCGGTGCTGGAGGACTGAGGAGGAGTGATGAGGATGAGGAAAAGAGAAAAGTGACGAGTGAGGAGGAGGAAGACGAGGAATAAGGAGTGAGAAGGAGGTCTTGTGGGGACTTCGATGCATCGGTGCATGGCGCAATCCTAACTACCTGCGCGTATCCCTACCAGCGTTGCCGTCGCGAAACAAAGCACTCACCAAATTCAGCTGTCTGCCAATCTCCGGTCGAGAATGGGATGCTCGTTTGAAGTTTATGGTGTTTTGAATGTTTTCTGGGCCCATGACTGGACCCGCTTTGACATTCTTGCCAAAACGCAGCCTCCGTAGCCATTTTGGCTCAAGCCCAAGCCATCTTGGCTCAAGTGAAACATTCATCGAGCTGCTGCAGAGAGCCCCACGACTGGCGTGTAACTCGGCCAGCGACACAGGGGCAAAGCGCCTGTCTTCTCTTTCTTTTCAGTGAGCACCTGGAGGAGCCATAGCAGTCCTCCAACCTTCCAGTATTCTTTTCGTGTCAGTGAGCTCCTGGAGGAGCCAACAGTGTCATGACCCGCAAGGCAGTGCGCAAGTATCACGATAAGGACGAGGATCGTCGATCTCGACGTGAGCGTCGGGCCGATCTTGACCAGGATCGTGATGCATCGACATCCTCGGCTGGATCTCCTCGCCACTTCCCGACCAAGGCTCGACGCCCGAGCCGCAGTCGGTCTGGCGGGGCGCCCTCTACACCATGTACGAGTTCGACTGACACGAAGATCGACATCCTCATCGGTAACATGAAGTCCTTGTCGCAGCTAGTAGCCAACCAGTCGACGGACATGGGCACCATCAAGGATGCCTGCAAAGCATCCATGGATCGCTGTGCCACGCTCGCCGACCAGATGACGATGATGAGCCGTGAGTACCAATCGCGCCACCAGGTGTTGCAGGAGTTGGTGAACGCCTCATTGCATGCGCTGGACTATCGGATGGGCATCCTCGAGCAGGGAGGCGGCGACGTGGCCATGGCAGGCACCGACACCGCGCTGCAGGCCAAGGTTGCTGCGATCGCGGGCTCATTGGCTGAACCCTTGGACCGGCAGCGCACCTCCGAGAAGCACATCGCCGACATCCAGTCCACTCCACCCCCACCGCCGACTTCGCCACGGTCGATGGGGGCCTGCTACATCGGGTAGAACGGACGCTGAGCGCCACCAACATGATGTATGCAAACTGGTCTTACTCGGGTTCCCGCGGCCCCTCCTCGTGGCGGACCTTCGCGGGATTGGTGAGGCGTGCAAGGCCCGCTTTTCTCCCCAGCTCAGTCAGGGCAAGATTATTGTGCGCGCGTTTGACCTCAGCCAGAAGATCACATTTCTTTTCGAGAATCCTCTGGCCGCCACCCACTTTCTCGATGCCTTCTCTGCGGCTGGAGGTTCGTGGACATACCCTGGCCCGCTGCGCGCTCAGCAGCCTCTAGTCCTTCGCTTGAGGCGAGATTTGGACTTCAATGGGCGACGGCTTCTCCTGTCTTTAGGGCGCGTGCGCGCCCTGCTCACCGACCTCTTCAAACCCAAGGGGCTTGAAGTTGGAAGCGCGGGCCTAGGTGGCTCTGCCTACGTCTTGCGGCCCCCCCACGACCCCGCCCCCCTCGTTAAACTCGCTGTGGGGGAGGGCGGCTCGATCGACGCTCAGGTCGACCGAGATGCTTTTCTTGAGTTTGGCATTGAGCAGCACCCGGCCTCTGTCATAGCTGCTGCGAATGTCCCCCTGAGGCGCCCCTCTAGGGGCTGAGGCGGGCAGTGGCGAGCGCGCCAGCGCAGGCTCCCCCCCCCCCCTCCATCTTCGCCCCCCCCCCCCCCCCTCTGCCTCTTTCCTGCCCTCCTCCGCGGTGAAGCTCTGCGCCTGGAACGCTGCTGCCCTGTTCTGTTCAGTGAAAGCGAAGACTTGGCGGGCCTCGGCACGTTTCGAACAACGCGTCAACTATTGCATGATGAACGACGCTATCACAGTACAAGAAACACATGGACACGAGGGGGCATGGATGAGCTCGCCCGAGAGTTGGGCTCTCATGCATTCGGCTACTCATTGTTTGGCGACTCTACTGGGGACGGTGGAGTTGTCGCGGCATCGGCGCGCGGCTAGTATCGCAGTTCTCGCAGATTGACCACCTCCCGATCATTGCTGGGCGAATCCTTAAAACGATTCTCTTGGGGCCGAACGGTAATATGGCCATCTGCGACGTCCACCTCCCGAATGCCTCCGACCCCCTCTCCCTCTTCAGCGGTGTGCTTCAAGTGATTCAGAAAGATTATTAGCAACGCCAGCCTGGTGGCGATGGGCCACCTGCACATGCTCTGTTTATGGGCGACTGGAATTTCGCGATCGAGGACGAGGGCAGGTTTCGAGGGGATGAAGGAGGGTTCGTCCCAGGAGATGCTGCGCACTCTCGGCTATTCGCGCGATTTTTCCGTGGCCTCACCTAGCTGCTTCAAAGTGAAGACACACGTCGTGGACGTAAATGCATCGCTGTTGACAAGACCTCTCGCATTGATCGGATTTATACTTCCCTCCACCCGGCCATATTGATTCCACTATTGGGTCGTTGACACCTGCTCAACCTTGCGGTGATCATAGACCTGTTCGTGCTGTTCTGGATCGTTTCGTTCCCAACTCCAGCCAACCCATCCTTCCCCCGTGGATTACTGGGCTGCCTGAATTTGGCAAGGCGTTAGATGA